TATAACTTTGAAGCTGAGCATGGTGGCTCACACCTGTAATCCCAGCACTTTGGGAGGCTGAAGCAGGCAGATCAATTGAGCCCAGAAGTTCCAGACCAGCCTAGCCAACATGGTGAAACCCTGTCTCTACTAAAAATACAAAAATCAGCCAGGTGTGGTGGTGGATACCTGTAGTCCCAGTTACTCGAGAGGCTGAGGCAGAATAGTTTGAACCTGGGAGGCAGAGGTTGCAGTGAGCCGAGACTGGGCCACTGCACTCCAGCGTGGGCGACAGAGCAAGACTCTGTCTCAAAAAAAAAAAAAATTATATATATATGTGTGTGTGTGTGTGTGTGTGTGTATGTGTGTATATATATATAAAATTCTGTATACTGAACTTTTCTGTGAACTTGATAAACTCACTTATCCATTTTAGAATTCTTTCTGTAGGTTCCTTGGGATTTTCTACATACAAAATTATGTAGGATTTTAGGCTGGGCATGGTGGCTCATGCCTGTAATCCCAGTACTTTGAGAGGCAGAGGCAGGCAGATCACCTGAGGTTGGGAGTTCGAGACCAGGCTGGCCAACATGGCGAAACGCTGTCTCTACTAAAAATACAAAAATTAGCCAGGCATTGTGGCACATGCCTGTAGGCCCAGCTACTCAGGAGGCTGAGGCAGGAGAATTGCTTGAACCCAGGGGGCAGAGGTTGCAGTGAGCTGAGACTACGCCACTGCACTCCAGCCTGGGTGACAGAGCGAGACTCCATCTCAAATAACAAAGAAAATTGTATAGGATTTTCTACATTACAATAAAGACAGTTTTATTTATTACTTTCTAATCTTTATGCCTTTTATTTCCTTTTCTAACTTTACTGCACTAGCTAGGATTTCCAGCATCATGCTGAATATAGTGGTGAGAATGGATGTCTTTGCCTTATTCCTGATCTTAGGAGGAAAGCATTCAATCCTTCACCATTAAATAGTTTAGACTATGGGTTTCTTATTAGAAGTACTTTAGCAGGGCTGGGTGTGGTGGCTCATGCCTATAATCCCAGCACTTAGGGAGGCCAAGGTGGGTGGATCACCTGAGGTTGGGAATTCGAGACCAGCCTTGCCAACATGGTGAAACCCTGTCTCTACTGAAAATACGAAAATTAGCTAGTCGTGGCGGCTGGCGCCTGTATTCCCAGCTACTCGGGAGGCTGAGGCAGGAGAATCAATTGAACCTGAGAGGCAGAGGTTACATTGAGCTGAGACTGCACCACTGTGCTCCGGCATGGGTGACGAGCAAAACACCATCTCAGAAAAAAAAAAGAAGTGCTTTATCAAGGTAAAAAGCTTCCTTTTATTCCCAGTTTGCTGAGTTCTTATCATGAATAAATGTCTAATTTTGTCAAATACTTTTTCTGCATCTACTTAGATCATCATACAGTTTTTCTTCTTTAGAATGACATAGTGAATTAACTTATTTTTGAATGTTGAATCAACTATGGTTTTCCAGAATAAATCCTACTTAGTTGTGATGTATTATCCTTTTTATACATTGCTAGGTTTGATATGCTAGTATTTCATTAAAGATTTTGTCTATATTCATAGGAAATAGTGGTCAGTAGTTATTTCCCATATCTTTTTCTGATTTTAGCATGAGGGTAACACTGATAATAAATATTCATAAAATGAATTCTAATGATACTAAAATTCATAAAATGAGTTAAAAAGTGTTCCCTCTTCTTCCATTTTCTTGAGGAAACTATGTAGAGTTGGTATTATTTCTTCCTTAAATATTTAGTAGAACTGACCAGTGAAGCCATCTGGGCCTGGAATTTTCTTTGTAGAAAGTTATTTAGAAACGAATTCAATTTCTTTCCATCTTTTTTCTATTTTTTTTTCTGAGATGGACTGTCACTCTGTTACCCGGGCTGGAGTGCAGTGGCCCAATCCTGGCTCACTGCAACCTCTGTCTCCTGGGTTAAAGTGATTCTCCTGTCACAGCCTCCCAAGTAGCTGGGATTACAGGCACACGTCACCATGCCTGGCTAATTTTTGTATTTTTCATAGAGATGGGGTTTCACCATGTTGGCCAGCCTGGTCTTGAACTCCTAACCTCAGGTGATCCACCCACCTCGGCTTTCCAAAGTGCTGCGGTTATAGGTGTGAGCCACGATGCCCAGCCTTGATTTCTTTAACAGATACAGGACTACTCAGGTTTACCATTTCTTCTTGAACTGTGTCTCTAAACAGTGGAATTATTGACACTGTGGTTTATTTAGGATAATTATTTGTAGGAAGCTTAACACATCCCTGGCCTCTACCCACTATATGCCAGTAGCACCCTTCCAGTTGTAACAATCAAAAATTTCTTCAGGGCCAGGTGCGGTGGCTCATGCCTGTAATCCCAGCACTTTGGGAGGCTGAGGCAGGTGGATCATGAGGTCAGGAGATCGAGACCACCCTGGCTAACATGATGAAACTCCATCTCTACTAAAAACACACAAAAAATTAGCCGGGCGTGGTGGCAGGTGCCTGTATCCCAGCTACTCAGGAGGCAGAGGTTGTGGTGAGCCAAGATCATGCCACTGCATTCCAGCCTGGGCAACAGAGCGAGACTCCGTCTCAAAACAAAACAACAATAAAAAAATGAACTACTTCTTGGCCAAGCACAGTGGCTCACACCTGTAATCCTAGCTCTTTGGAAGGCTGAGGAGGGTGGATCACCTGAGGTCAGGAATTTAAGACCAGCCTGTCCAACATGGTGAAACCCCGTCTCTACTAAAAAATTACAAAAATTAGCCAGGTATGATGGAGGGTGCCTGTAATCCCAGCTACTCAGGAGGCTGAGGCTGGAGAAACTGCTTGAATCCAGGGAGGTGGAGGTTGCAGTGAGCCGAGAATTCGCCACTGCACTCCGGCCTGGGTGACAGAGAGCAAGACTCTGTCTCAAAAAAAAAAAAAAAAAGAACCACTCCTCTTAAATGAGCTTTGGCAGTTTGTGAATTATAAGGAATTTAAGGAATTGACCTATTTCATCTAAGTTGTCAAATTTATGGGCATAAAATTGTCTGTAATATTTCCGTATTATCCTTTTAATGTCTAGAGTCTATAGTAATATTCCCAATTTGGTTCCTAATATTCTTAATTTGTGTATTTTTTTCTTGGTCAGTCTGACTAGAAGTTTATCAATTTTATTGATCTTTTCAAAAAACCAGCTATTGGGCTGTTTTCTCTACTCATCTTGTTTTCAATGTTAATTGATTTCTTATCTTAACCATTTCCTTCCTTCTGCTTCCTTTGCGTTTAATTTGTTCTTCTTTTCTTTTTTTTGAGTAGCTGGGACTATAGGCGCCCACCACCACGCCTGGCTAATTTTTTGTATTTTTTAGTAGAGACAGAGTTTCACCGTGTTAGCCAGGATGGTCTCGATCTCCTGACCTCGTGATCCGCCTGTCTCGGCCTCCCAAAGTGCTGGGATTACAGGCTTCAGCCACTGCGCCTGGCCTCTTCTTTTCTAATTTCGTAGGGTAGAAGGTTAGATCACTGATTTGAAAACTTCCATAATTTTCCATTATTTCAGTGCTATATATATATTTTTTGTTTGTTTGTTTTGAGATGGATTCCTGGAGTGCATTGGCAGGATCTTGGCTCACTACAACCTCCGCTTCCTGGATTCAAGCGATTCTCCTGCTTCAGCCTCCAGAGTAGCTGGGATTACAGGCACATGCCACCACACCCAGCTAATTTTTGTATTTTTAGTAGAAACAGGGTTTCACCATGTTGGCCAGGATAGTCTCTTTATCTCCTGACCTCATGATCCACCCACCTCAGCCTCCCAAACTGCTGGGATTATAGGCGTGAGCCACTGCACCAGGCCAGTGCTATACATTTTTAACTAAGCACTATATCCCATAAATTTTTTCATCTCCTAAATTTTGACATTATGTTTTCACTCTAATTAAATTCAAAATATCTTCTAATTTCTTTGCTGTTTCCTCTCAGACACATGAATTATTTAAAAGTGTGTTAATTTCCAAATATTTAGGAATTTTTCAGATATGAATCTATTGTTATAATCAGAGAAAATACTTTGTGTAATTTCATTTTTTTTTTTGAGATGGAGTTTCACTCTTGTTGCCGAGGCTAGAGTGCAATGGTGTGATCTCGGTTCACTGTAACCTCCACCCACCAGGTTCAAGTGACTCTTCTGCCTCAGCCTCCCAAGTAGCTGGGATTACAGGCATGCACCACCACACCCAGCTAATTTTGTATTTTCAGTAGAGATGGCGTTTCTCCATGTTGGTCAGGCTGGTCTCAAACTCCCGCCCTCAGGTGATCCTCCCTCCTTGGCCTCCCAAAGTGCTGGGATTATAGGCCTGAGCTACTGCACCCGGTCTCAAATATTTTAAATTTGTTAACATTTGTTCTGCAGCCCAGAATATGTTTTATTTTGGTGAACGTTCCATGTGCTCTTAAAAAAGACCATGTATTAGGCCGGGCGTCGTGGCTCATGCCTGTAATCCCAGCACTTTGGGAGGCTGAGGCGGGCGAATCACGAGGTCAGGAGATGGAGACCATCCTGGCTAAAGCAGTGAAACCCTATCTCTACTAAAAGTACAAAAAAATTAGCCGGGCATGGTGGCAGGCGCCTATAGTCCCAGCTATTCGGGAGGCTGAGGCAGGAGAATGGCATGAACCCAGGAGGCGGAGCTTGAACTGAGTCGAGATCGTACCACTGCACTCCAGCCTGGGCGACAGACTGAGACTCTGTCTCAAAAAAAAAAAAAAAAAAAAACACAAAAAACAAAAAAACCATGTATTCTTTTTTGTTAGGTACAGTGTTGTGAGGTAGGGTATTCCACAACTTTCAACTACATCAAACTGACTGATCGTATTGATTGGCTCTTCTATGTCCTTACTCATTTACTATACTTGTTCTACTGATTATTGTGAGAGGAGTGTTGAAGTCCTCAAGTCTAACTGTGGATTTGAGAATCAAGCACTTTAAAGGAACAGGTTTGCTTACCATTCTGAATCTGAGCCACTTTTTTAGAGATCTCTCCAATGATCTATTAAAAAAAAGTAATACATTTTAATGAGTTTTGAATATGTTAGAAAGTATAGAAAAACTATAATTGAAAATTAGTATTTAAAAATACTTAGACTTTTGGTTTAATAGTCATTTAGATAGTAAGAAGAAATGAGAGACTTGTTACTTCTACTGAAATCAAATTTACCAGAACATACCTGTCGTCTCCACTTCTCAGCTTTGGGCAGCTCAGTACATTCTGAGGCCAGAAAGGGTCTTCGTTCCTAAGGAGAAAAAAATAACACATTTCCATTATACTATTTACAAGTTTCATACAACATTCACAACTGATTCAGGCCTTAAGCCTAAATCATCTAATGGCCTAAATACATTTGAAGTTTTCATTCCAGATGATTCTCATTAAGCCTTAAACCTCATTCTACAATCTCTCCTTAGGAAAAACATTCATTGCATTGTATTTAGTACTGAAAAGAACTTAACTGTCCTGCAATAGAGAGACAGCTAAACTAGGTTATAGCTATTTCATGGCATATTTATAGTACCTTAAGAAACAATGTCTATCAGTGTTTAAAACAAACACACATAAATATGGGTGTATACATATACATGTGCATATAAAATTAAAAAAAAAAAATCCAAAGAATGGTATATATTATCTCTAATTTGGCTGAGTCTCTAAGAGATGAAATCATTTACCAGTTTCAGCTTACAGCTGTTCTCCACAACTTACTCCAGTCCCTATTATTCAATATTAGAGCTGGAGTAATACAGGACCCAATCATCAGGCCGGGCACGGTGGCTCATCCCAGTAATCTCCACTTTGGGAGGTCGAGGCAGGCAGATTGCCTGAGGCCTGGAGTTTGAGACCAGTCTGGCCAACATGGTGAAACCCCATCTCTACTAAAAATACAAAAAAATTAGCTGGGCGTGGTGGCGTGTGCCTGTAATTCCAGCTACTTGGGAGGCTGAGGCAGGGGAATTGCTTGAACCAGGAAGATGGAGGTTGCAGTGAGCCAAGATTACGCCACTGCACTCGAGCCTGGGCGACAGAGCGACAGTCCATCTCAAAAAAAAAAGGGAGGGGGCCCACTCATCATAATACAGAATAAACTGAAAAACAAGCAGGCAGATCCATCACCCTGCCTCAGCTATGAGGAGGTATTGGAATTCAAGTGTACAGACTCTCAAGAGCGTCAGCAGGTACAGATAAGAAATAGGAAATTTTGAAGTTTGAAGTCTGTTGACCTGGAGTGCAGCGGCGCGCTCTCGGCTCACTGCAACCTCCATCTGCAGGGCTCAAGTGATTCACCTGCCTCAGCCTCCCAAGAGCTGGGATTACAGGTGCCTGCCACCATGCCCAGCTAATTTTTGTATTTTTAGTAGAGACAGGGTTTCACCATGTTGGCCAGGCTGGTGGTCTGAAACTCCTGACCTCAAATGATCCACCCGTCAGCCTCTACTGTGCTGGGATTACAGGCGTGAGCCACTGCACCCAGCTTTTTTTTTGACAGGTTCTCACTGTGTCACCCAGGCTGGAGTGCAGTGGCATGATCATGGCTCACTGCAATGTAAGACTCCTGCATTCAAGTGATCCTCCTGCCACAGCTTCCCCAGTAGCTGGGACTACAGGCAGGCACCACCATGCCTGGCTAGGCTAATCTTGTATTTTTTGTATAGAAAGGATTTTGCCATGTTGTCCAGACTGGTCTCAAACTCCTAAACTCAAGTGATCCACCCACCTCAGCCTCCCAAAGTACCGGGATTACAGCCATGAGCCACTGTGCCCAGTCTGCATTTATTCTTGATACTTTACAGTTCATGAGGAAGATTTACACCAACCTTCACTTTTCCCTCTTCCAGCTGAGCCTGGCGAAATCTTGCTAAGGCCGTCCTATCAGGGATATAAAAGACTGCATTAGATCCTGTTCACACAGGCTTCTCATTACCCATGTTCCTGGATGGGTTAGATCTGCTTATGATCGTATTTAATGTCATATATATATATGACATATATATATATATATATATATATAATGTCATATATATATATATATAAAGAAACCACAGAGTAGTTAGGGATTTCCATGTTCTCAGGAGTAGGGATTAACGGGCAATTTGTATTCCTGAACACCCAAGAATATATTTTACTTACACTACACACAAGGACTGTGGGAAACTCTACTTATCAGACCACTGTGAGGAGCAACACATCCAGGTGTTAAAAGGCTAACATCCTGGTGTTCTCTAGCTGTCACTCTCACAACTCCTGCACCAACCACCGGTGAACAAATGTACATCCAGTGTAAAAGTTCTGGAAACTGTGAGAAAACACATTAACGGAAAAAACAAATGGGCAAAAACAGGAATGCTATTTTTAACTTATGTAAAGAAAGAAACAGCTTCTCAAAAGGCTCAGATACCAAAAAGAAGAAATACGAAAAGAGTTACATGGTGGTTATTAAGTTACAAAAAATTGATACTTACATGGCCTTTTCTGCATTTCGGGCCTGGAAAGAGAGAAAAGAGAAGAAAAATGCCCATGTTTAAAACATATTTTTTTCTTGCCATTTACTTTTTAGTGAAAAGTTTTACAAGAATACAGTCACAAGCAAACCACTTGAACTACTATATGAACAACAATAAACAAAAATTAAATATGTCCAAATCCTGTGACCAAGGCTGTGCCTCCCTCTACTTAAAATCTTTACTCCTCCACTGACCCTAACACCTTGTATCTGGCTAACTCGCATTATTCTTCCTTCAAATTTTACTTGTGTCATGACCACCCAGAACATTATTCTGTGACCCTTTCTTCCCAGTTAGGCTGGTGTCCTCTATCAAGGATTATACTTACCATGGCACTTAACACCCAGCATCACAATTGCCTGTTCCCTGCCAGTGGTATTTGGGGAAAATAAGTCTGAAGACTGCCTTTCGTAAAGTAAGCTTTATGTAAGTACTGTCACGCTAAATGTCAACTCAATTATCCCTGAAACACAGTGTCTGACAGAGACCGAGTTTTCTGGGTTGGAGTCTAGGTAGAAAGGGTCCCAGCTAAGTCAGGGACTTACATTCCCAGTTCTTCCACTTACCATCTCTGAGAAGTAGTCTCTCTATAACTCAAGTTTCCCCATCTTTACAATAGGGTGCATACCTCATCTCACAGAGGTGTCACGATGTCTTCATGAGATAAATACAACAAGCATGCAGTTTACAGACACTCAGCAAAATTGAGTTCAATTTAAGTCTCCTTTGAGACTCTCCCCTTCAACTGACAGAAACAAACTTGGCAAATGCTTGGTAGATAGGCGAACACCGCAGTAATTTGGGACATACCTTCTCACAGAAACGGCTACCTCTTCTTTTTTTTTTTTTCTGAGATGGAGTCTCGCTCTATCGCCCAGGCTGGAGTGCAGCGGCGCGATCTCGGCTCACTGCAAACTCCGCCTCCCGGGTTCACACCATTCTCCTGCCTCAGCCTCCCGCGAAACGGCTACTTCTATTCCACTAGTTTCTCTCTTTTTCTTGGGAGCTTGTGCTCATCAATCTACAATGGCTTCCAATATATCTCATATAACCTAACCATGACGCCCCGTGTTTCTTACAGGGGCTTCACTTAATGAAAATAATACAGTAGCCAATATTACAGTAACCAATCAACATTTTTGTACCGGCACTACGTGCATTCTTATATTTACACGTCGTAAATGCTTCTTGAAGAAATGAAGAAACAACAAATGACGCCAGACCACAGAGAGCACACCCTCATAGAACATTTCCTGTCTGTGCCATTCATTTCTTCAATAGTTATTGAACATCTACAATGACTCTGTGAGACATTAAGGAAGCAATAATGAAAAGACCCTACCCTCGTGATGTTTGTATATTATGGAGCAGACTGAGAATGGACATAAATGAAATAATCCCAGAAACATATAGTCACAACTGCTCTTAATCTTCTCTGTGGTATTTAGGGACAAACAGCCGGCCCACACTATGCACCGTAACTCGGAGCGGGCCCTAGCGCTTCTCTGTGTCTGTTTCCCTCAGGTTAAAGAGCTTCATCGGGATTAAGACACTGTCCAGAACGATAACGCGGCTCCCCAGTTTCCAGTTTTTCAATTTGCGACGGCTAAACGAGGCAGGAAGAGAATCCCCTCGTTACACCAAAGAACCTGAAGCCCTCAGCATTGCACGCCTGAGCCTCTACGCCAAGAGCGCCCCAGGGGGACCGGGCGCCCCCCCCGGCCAGCCCGCCCACCCTACTCACCATGGTGTCGCTAAGGGCGCCGTCCTGGAGCCCCGCGGCCCCTGTCCAAGAAACTCCACAGGCCCAAAAGATGCCGACGCTCACAGGAACTGAAGATTCTAACTGCCCACAGACACTGATGTTTTGTCGGAAACGCAAAAGAAAGGGACCGGAAGTGAAAGGGAGTACCGGACGTGCCCAGACGAAGCCGACGCTCGCAGGAACTGAAGATTCTAACTGCCCACAGAGCCTCATGTTTTGTCGGAAACGTAAAAGAAAGGGACCGGAAGTGAAAGGGAGATCCAGCCGGAGATTGGGAGAGAAAATTCCGGCGCGCTCCGGCAGGCGGTCTTCCGGTAGCGCCAGCCCGCGGCACCATCACACGCAGCTGTGGGATCGGGCTTGCGCAGAGAGACTGTAGGTTTTCGGACTCAGCCTGGGCGGCGGGTCTTAGCTCTCGAAACAGGCGGTGCGAAATGTCTTGCGTTCACTATCGGTAGTGCGGGAGTAGGCGGCGCTGGGCGCCGTTTTGTGGAAGGCTGAGTTTTCGCCGCTACTCTAATCCCACTGGCTTCCTTCTTGATTCTTCTGTGAGAGCAAATATCCCCTTTTGGAAATTACTGGACATCATCTCTGACTGCGACGAGGCATCTACGGCCCGGACAGCTCCCGTAGTGTGAGCTGGAGTGTGCGTCCTGCAGGAGTTGGAGCTGGCCGGGCTTCGTAAACTCCTTCACGTTTCCGTGTCACTTCTTAGGGCCATTTCTGGCTCGTCTGCTGGAATCGCGGGGCCTTTCAGAGCTGGACGATGTTTGAGGTCATCCTCTTTTAAAATAAAAATTTAAGTTCCAGGCAAAAAGTGCCACTTAGGGGAGGAGGGTGGATGGAGAAGTGCTGTCACTGTGTCCTGAGAACATTGCTGGGACCAGAGGATCCTTAGACAAGGACCAGGAAGACAGGAGAGGTCCCTAGTAGGAGACGTTCTGATGGTTACTCCCGCATGGTGTCAGCAGTGAGGGGAGCTGTGGTGGGGAATTCAGGTGAGGGCCCGCAGCAAATTCAGTTACAGCCGCTTTCCCCTTTCAAGCATGGTGCCTCAGCTGTAGGGACTCCCTCCACCACGGGACCTAACTAGTGATGGGCACCCTAGCAGCAGCCAGCAGGCACAAGCCAAAGAGAGAAGCAGCTGACATGTGGTTCGGGATAAGACAGGACAGGAAAAGTACTCAGTCACCAGAATCTCGTGCCTGAAATGTGACAAGTTTTAAGTGGGCATATGACCGCCCCACTACAGACCCCATCCTCCCACCTGTCTGGTTTATGATTTGTAATGGTCGGTGAGAATCGAGTCAAAGGGATGTGTGACATAGATGAAGCCATGACAAAAATACACATCCCTTGCCCTTTTCCTTTCTCTGCTGACTGGGAGGTGTCCATGGGATCAGCCAACCTGAATTCAGAAATGGAAGTATTGTGAAGATGCCAGAGTCCCCCCCTCCCAGCTCTGCAACACTGAGCTCTGTAAAATGAGAAAAAACATGTCTTGTTAAGGCCTCTGCATCTGGGGGTCTTTTGTTCAAGCAGCTTAACTTTTACCTTAAATATCTGATCTCAAACAAGCAGGGTCATTCCTCACTCAAATGAGACCTTCTCAACATGTCCATACCGCCTTTATCCATTAAGTCCCTGACTCTAGGATGCAGAGATCACATATTAACAGGATTCAAGAGGTGTTACCTATGTTGTCCTAGCATCTGCTCCCCCTACTCACTTATCTCAGTTCCATTTGGGTAGCCCTCTGGTTGTAGGGAAGGGAACTGCATCCCCAGCTTTAAGTATGGATCAAGCACTAGATTAAGCTATTCCATCCATCCCATCTCCTTAGGCATAGTGACTGGCGGACTTAAGACCCAAGCTGACCTAGTCAGAATGGGTCTTGAGACTTGCTTGCAATGCTGGAGAAAATACATCCTGCTGGATGTCAGACAAAAGGTAATATCAACTGTCAGCCACTTAAGAGCTCAGGAGACAAGATTTAGTGTTTGGTGACATCATTGGGTGGATGAGAATAAGGCTTTGCCTCCAGCCCACTTAAATATTTAGTTATGTGAAGATTTACGTAAAATTCTTTAGGGTTGCAACAAATAGTCAGACCTATCTTGCCAGTCTGCTAAATGGCCTTCCTTTCTCTGCTCCCACTGATCTTGCCTTTGTTTGTGCTGCTCCTTTTGCCTGTAGCACCCCTTCCTTTATCCCCCTGCCACTTGAGACAGTTTAGACATCTGGGATTCCAATCCCAACTATGATCCGTCATTGGATCACATCACTAATCCTAAAGCAGCAGTTGTAAACTTCTGGCCAGCAGGCTGGATTTGGCCAACAAAGCTGCTATGATTTACATCAGGTTACAAAAATTAGAAAATCTCACATACAGATGCTGATGTGAGACGACATTGAGCCTACATTCCTGAACAGCAACCGCACAGGTGAAAAAAAATCTGGTTTTATTAGTTCATGTGTTTTAAGTGGCATAGAATAATGTCATACATCAAATTGGGTGAAAAAAACTAATATTAAAAAGATATTTTCCAGCTTCAGGCAGGACTTTTGCCTAACATTCATATATATGTCCCCTAGCATCCATGTAAGTGCCTCAAATGTTGTCCTCCACTAAACATGGATTCACGGGAGAGCAGGTATGGCAGGGAGAAAAACAGCCCCCCAAAATGTCCACATCCTAATCTCTGAAACCTGTTAGTATGTTACCTTACATGGCAAAAGGGATTTAGCAGGTGCAGTTAAGAAGCTTGAGATAGGACCCGGTGCTGTGCCTCATGCCTGTAATCCTAGCACTTTGGGAGACTGAGCCGGGCGGATCACCTGAGGTCACTAGTTCAAGACCAGCCTGTCCAACATGGTGAAACCTCATCTCTACTAAAAATACAAAAATCAGCTGGACACAGCGGTGAATGCCTGTAATCCCAGCACTTCGGGAGGCTGAGGCGGGTGGATCACCTGAGGTCACTAGTTTAAGACCAGCCTGTCCAACATGGTGAAACCTCATCTCTACTAAAAATACAAAAATCAGCTGGACACAGCGGTGAATGCCTGTAATCCCAGCTACTCAGGAGGCTAAGGCAGGAGAATCGCTTGAACCCAGGAGGTGGAGGTTGCAGGGAGCTGAGATCACACCACTGCACTCCAGCCTGAGCAACAGAGTGAGACTCTGCCTAAAAAAAAAAAAATTTGAGGCCAGGCGCGGCTGTTCACACCTGTAATCCCAGCACTTTGGGAGGCTGACGCAGGCAGATCACCTGAGATCAGGAGTTTGAGACCAGTCTGACCAATATGATGAAACCCTGGCTCTACAAAAAATACAAAAATTAGCTGGGTGCAGTGGCGGGCACCTGTAATCCCAGCTACTCAGGAGACGGAGGCAGGAGAATGGCGTGAACCTGGAAAGCGGAGCTTGCAGTGAGCTGAGATCGCGCCACTGCATTCCAGCCTGTGCAACAGAGCAAAACTTCGTCTCAAAAAACAAAACAAAACAAAACAAAAAACCACAAGATGGGGTCCAAAGTTCAGAATCAGAGGAGATGTGACGAAGTTGATGCTGGAGTGACATGGACGTGAGCCAAAGAATCCAGAAAGTCTCTGGAAGCTGGAAAATGCAAGGAAAAAGATTCTTCCCTAGAGCTCCAGAAGGAAAATAGCCCTGCTGACACCTTTAGTCCCATAAGACCTATTTCTGACTTCCAGAACTATAAAGAACTGGTACTGTTCTAAACCACAAAGTTTGTGGTAGGTTGTTAAAGCAACAATATGAAATATGGATTTTGGTACCTCCAAGTGGGATGCTTCTCTAACAAATACCTAACAGTGTTGAAGTGGCTTTGGAATTGGGCACTGGGCAGAGTCTGGAGAATTCTGATGACAGAAAAAGCCTAGAATGCCTTAATTATTTGTAGAAGTATGGGTTAGCAACTCTGCTAGTGAGGACTCTGAAGGAAATGAAAAGCACAATAGAGGAAGTGCGCGATGACTCACACATGTAATCCCAGCACTTTGGGTGGCTGAGGTGGGAGGATGGTTTGAGCCCAGGAGTTCAAGACCAGCCTGGGCAACATAGGAAGACCCCATCTCTACAAAAAAAAAATTATTTATTTATTTATTTAATTTATTTATTTATTTTGAGACAGAGTCTCGCTCAGTCGCCCAGGCTGGAGTGCAGTGGCGCAATCTCAGCTCACTGCAAACTCGCCTCCCAGGTTCACGCCATTCTCCTGCCTGAGCCTCAAGAGTAGCTGGGACTACAGGTGCCCGCCCCCACACCCAGCTAATTTTTTGGTATTTTTAGTAGAGACAGGGTTTCTCCGTGTTAGCCAGGATCTCCTGACCTCATGATCCACCCACCTTGGCCTCCCAAAGTGCTTGTGATTACAGGCGTGAGCCATTGCACTCGGCTACAAAAAAAATTTAAAAGTTAGCCATACATGGTGGCTTGCCTGTGGTCCCAACTCCTCGGGAGGCTGAACTGGGAAGTTACTTGAGCACAGGTAGTCAAGGCTGCAGTGACCTGTGATTGCACCACTGCACTCCAGTCTGGGATAGAGAGACCCTGTCTAAAAAAAAGGAAAATGTAATAGAACATACAGTGTTAAAGAATATGTAAATCATCATAACGACTGTTAATAGAAATATGGACATTAACAATACTGCTGGGGGCCAAGCGCTGTGGCTCATACTTATAATCCCAGCACTTTGGGAAGCCGAGACAGGCAGATCACGAGGTCAGGAGTTCGAGCCCAGCCTGGCCAACATGGTGAAACCCCATCTCTACTAAAAATACAAAAATTAGCCGGGCGTGGTGACGGATGCCTGTAACCCCAGCTACTCGGGAGGCTGAGGCAGGAGAATCGCTTGAACACAGGAGGCAGGGGTAGCAGTGAGCCAAGACTGCGCCATTGCACTCCAGCCTGGGCGACAGAGCAAGACTCCATCTCGAGGAAAAAAAAAAAATTCCTGCTGGTGAGGGCTCAGAAGGAAGTGAGGAGCATGCTACTGGAAACAGGAGGAAAGGGAGTCCTCAAATAGTGGGAAAAACTGAGCTGAATTGTGTCCTACAGTTATGCGGAGAGCAGAACTTGTAAACAATAAACTTGGATATTTAGCTGGGGAGGTTTTCTGGTTTCTTCCTACTGCTTATATAAAATGCAAAAGAAAAGAGAGAAGTTGAGGGGAGAACTATTAAGCCAAAAGGAACCGATACTTGATTTGGGAAATAGCCTTCCATATAGCAAAAGATGCTAAAATTAGGGGATTCACTGCAAAGAATGTGTGCTCTGGAGGAAAAGCCAAAGGTGCAGTTGTACAACCTTTTTCTAGTGCCTCAGAAGAGTCAAAAGATCAGAATATTCATTCATACTGCGGGCTCTTTGAAGAGACTAGGCAACTGACACAGCTATCTCAGCAGAAACCAGAAACAGATATGAGATTATCCCATCTGTCTGTAGAGGAGCCTCCTGTTTGTCTAATGGAATTAATTCCCACGACACACAAAGGAGGCTCACGAGGTTCTTCAGAGAATTTTATACCAGCAGAAACACTGCCAGCTCGGACTATGAGAAAAAGGACAAAATGTAAGAAAAGGCTTGAGCCTGAGGATATCCTCAGGTGGAGCTGATGAGATGTACATGAGATATTACTCCACACCCCCCACCCCAGTTACCAAAGATTTTACAAAAGTATCAGTGGGCTGATACTTTGGGTAATTTGGAATAGAATACATGCATTTTATATGTGAAATGGATGTCAAACTTTGGGGGCCAGAAGCCAGACAGAACAGTACCCTCCCAAAGATGTAAATATTCTAATCCCCCAAACCTGTGTACATGCAAAAGGACCTTATAGATGTGACTAAATTATAACATCAATAGGAAAGTAACAGTTGTTGATTCCTTGAAGCAAGAAAAAAAGTCTAAATGGATCCTGGAGCATTCTGTTCTTAGCAGAAAACAAGAATGTGACAATTTGAGCATAAAATAATTTGTAAATGACAATGAGTTTATAATTTTGCTAAATTAACAACTACTAGTCCTGGCTAACACAGTGAAACCCCGTCTCTACTAAAAATACAAAAATTAGCCAGGCGTGGTGGCAGCCACCTAGCCACCTGTAATCCCAGCTACTCGGGAGGCTGAGGCAGGAGAATGGTGTGAACCCGGGAGGCAGAGCATGAAGTGAGTCAAGATCACACCACTGCACTCCAGCCTAGGCAACAGAACAAGACTCCGTCTCAAAAACAAAAACAAAAACAAACAACTATATGGGCCAGGCGTGGTGGCTCATTCCTGTAATCCCAGCACTTGGGAAGGCCAAGGTGGGTGGATCACCTGAGGTTAGGAGTTCGAGACCAGCCTGGCCAACATGGTGAAACTCCATTTCTACTAAAAGTACAAAAATTAGCCAGGCTTGGTGGCAGGTACCTGTAATCCCAGCTACTCAGGAAGCTGAGGTGGGAAAATCACTTGAACCTGGGAGGCAGAGGTTGCAGTGAGCCGAGATCGCACCATTGAACTGCAGCCTGGGTGACAAGAGCAAGACTCCGTCTACCAAAAAAAAAAAAAAATTAAAAAAAAAAAAAAAGGCCTGAACACCCCCTATGGCCTAA